GTTTTACTAATTCTTTGCATTGTGGAAGTCAGTGTTCAGGCGATTGCACAAGTCCTGATGCAAAAAAGGGTTTAGGGGTTTAGGGTTTAGGGGTTTAGGGGCTCAGGGCTTGCAAGAGTCCTGGATGCAAAAAGGGGCTCAGGGGTTCAGCGTGTGCAGTTTCGGGTTTAGGGTTTCTTTGTCCTGGGGCCGTGTAGAGTTGAAGGTGTCGTTGTTTCATTGTCTGTCTTTTTGTCCGGGGTTCCGGGTTGAAACGGGGGTTCAGTGCGTTTAACCCCGCGCCAATCCCGGAATTGCTCTGTGGGGTTAGTTTCCTTCCAAAAATAAGACGGTTTGGCCCTTCCAAGAATAGGCCGCACAAGTCAAGTCCCTCAGCCAACTAACTTGGCGGGGTTCTTAGACAGATCGTCAAAATCAGGGGATCGTCACAATCAGGGGGCAGGATGCTAACCTGAAGGTGGCTGAGCAGGAGACAGCTAAACAGATGCTGGGGAGGTGGTGGAATGGCAGAGAGCGGTGAGGCACTGGGCTCCAGGGTTTTGGGTGTCGCTGCTATGGGTTTCAGCCTAGGCCTCGGCCTTGAAATCCTCGGCCTTTCTAATTCCTGGCTGTTTTTCCGCACCAGCACATGCCCTCCCCGTAATTCTAAACCCCAAGACGCTGAACTTTCAACTCCTTAAATCAACCGGGGAAGCACCGAGCCTGTCAAGGTCCATTCTTCTTGGCCTGCCTGGTGGAGCCGGGCACTCATGGGGGAAACATTCCGAAGAATGCGCAGCCGGTTTTGCTGAAATGCTAGTTAGGGTGCATTGCGCCTTGGACTGCTTGGCTTTTCGAACGGCTTCCTTGACATACTTGGCCGGTCGTCGTTGGGCTCTTAGGTGTCTCTTCTGGCAGCTAGTCCCCAAGCACAGTCACAAACCAAAAAGGTGTGCCAGAAGAAAAGCTTAAAGTCCGAAAGTCCTCGTGGTCTTCATAAGCGCTTGTGACTTGCAAGAAGCCGACATTAAGCATGAGGGGTGCCTGAATACTTGTAGTTAGTTCCATGGCATAGTTGTGCAGATGGTAGCTACTGCAGTAGGCGACCCCAGAAGAGCCCGTAGCTCAACCATAGTTCACAACTATGAAACACCTCTAGGTCCCAGGGTTAAGGGTTTGAAGTTCATGGGCTTATCGTAGCTATGTTGGGGTCCTTTAATCACGGGGGTATTGGGAACAAGAACCTTACTTCACGTCATCGCCACCCATGAGCTTACTTCATATGTGGCGAAGCCTTGTTTGCAGATCCTTTCAAAACCTGCAAGTTTTTCGGAAGCACAAGAGATGCTCAATATACTTGCGAAGCACTGATTCACGAAGTCAGAGGAAAAAATCCCAGAGAAGGCCACATAGTGCCCGAAAGAAGTACGATTTCGCCCCCGAGCCCACCCAGTGTAGGGCTCTTGCGTGTAGGATATCTTCTACTTGAAACTGAGGCCCTGCATTCATGCGAAGCTACTGAAGCATTCCCGCTCAAGTGCAGGCTTTTTCCAACCAGTTGGGGCCCGTCTGAAACCGAGTCCAGCCTCAACCCTACGCGAGGATCCAGGGCCCTTCCACGATCGATTTGAGCGGCGGCCACCGCATACCCGCTGAAAAATGCTGTGCGGACAAAGCGCCAGGTTTGAGGGTGTTGGAGGAAGGTGGTTTTGCAGTGCACCTACTTCGTACTACCTATACGGTACCGCTTTTGGGCTCCTTGCAGAATGTGTCATGTCTCAGAAATAATTCTGAAGACAACACCGCAGGTGGGCTCGAAAGTTTTGGAAACACCTGTGGCATCTAGCTTTGGGAGCAAAGTCACGGCTGGACTCCGAGCTGTCCTGGGTGTCTCCCACATCACCGAAATTACGGTGTTGGTAGTATTCGCGTTTTTACAGGGTGTCTTGGGAGACTTCTCTCGAAGTGGAGGGTTCGGGGTTTGGACTTCGTGGTTTAGCTGCGCACCCGAGGGTCGTTAGTGACTTGCCTTAATTTTCCAGATAGGATTTCCTTTTGGACTTTTTAGACCCCTACATAACGCCCTAAACATGAAACACCACTGCAGGGTGTCAGCTGAATTTCGAAGCATTTTTCAGCGGATCAAGCATCCTCAAGAAAGATGCGGCCTATTACCCGCAAGCTTCTGATCACCCAAATGGCCGTGCCCCCATGGTAAACCCCGAAGACACAACACGTGCGAAACAACCCTGAAGACCGAAATCTTTGCTCCGAGGTCATGGCAGAGACAAAGGGCCAGAAGCGAGCCTTCATGAAAGAATGGAGTTAGGTTTGCAGTTGAGGGTGGAGTTGGCCGCAGCCTTTGAGGAAGATACGGACAGGGCGGCATGTGAGTGTTTGGGGTGTAGGGCCTTGGGTTACACTTTCAATTAAATTCAGGCCGCAAAACCTACAACCGAAGCTTAAAAACTGGTAGCGCCCCCAAGTCTTTGCGAGATCGATCCTGCGTCGATTGTTTGGATTTGGTTTCAGGCTGAGGGGGCATACGAGTGGGAGTGACTCTCAGCTCACGGTCTTATCGAAGCTGCACTCGAGACAACCCAGCAGCCCTCAAACCCTAAACCCTAAACCCAATGCCTCCGACCTGAGAAGGCCTGAGCCTACAACCTCGAACGCTTCACCCCCGAACGCCCTTCATCCCCAACATCCCGTCAAGCTCTTGAGCCTTGCTCATCCGTGAGCAGCGGGCGTCAACCCTGAGAGCAGACAAGCGGATTTCGAGTTTCGGTTTCGGGTTCGTGGCTTGGCCTATGGAATTGTATCATGGCCATTCCAGTGTGGGCGACAAAGAGCTGTGATCGAGCATACTCAACACAACGAAAAACAAAAACGCATCCTGAAAACACTGAGCCCTAGAGCACCAGCATTGTGATAAAGCCGGGTCCAACAAGGATCCTTGTCCACTTTGGTCCAGCAGCCGGCGCCCAACTTCAAGCTTATGGCGTGTGCCTTCGACATGGGTAGGGTTTCAGGGTTTAGGGTTTAGGGTTTAGGGTTCGGTGGTCGTCACGTGGAGTGCCTATCCTAGGGAGTGGAGTGCTTGTGTGCTAACGTTTTCGGGCCTCGGCTGAACAACGGCAGAAGAGGCAATGCTGGCAGTCATCAAGTCCGGTTTCAAAAAAGGGTTTAGGAAGGGGCTCTCTCAGGATGTAGGACTGTACGACTCAGGGTTGAAGCTTTCGGCAAGGCATGCCGGATGACTCCTTCAAGGAGGTGGAGCTCGCCAGTTACCGAGGCAGGACAACCCCCCGACCCAGAGATGCCCCAAGTTTAGTTGACGCGCAGTCTTCCTCCTTAAAGGATTCTGGTTTAAAGCGTCCACCAGGAGTACACTTTCACCCTGTCATGTGGGGTTCCTTGACAAGCATGAATAATGCTGGTAAGAGAAAGGGTACACGGGTACCCCTTCTTATCAAGAGGACATTAAGGAGCCAAGATCAGGGGAGATGGGAGTTGCTTGGAATGGTTCAGGCTGGTCATCCGGGGAGTGAATGAGAGGAGGACTTTGGGCTTCAGGGTTTCGAGGGTTCTACAGGCTACATCCTTGTTGGGAGTCTGGAGTTGGCAATTCTGCGCAGCACGCGCGTAAAGCGCAGCCTTCAAACTCCACCCTGTCATATATGAGGCAACAGCTGTCCTGCACTTCGAAGCTGCTCTGAACCGGGCCTTTCTAACCTTTGCGCATGCTACACACATGCAGGCAAGACCAGGGCAACCCAGAATCCGAGCATTTCGATGAGGCAAGAAATATGTGGTGCTGTACACCTATCCGGCCGACTTCACTTTCGTGTGTGCAAGCGAGCTGGTGGCGTTCTCCAAGTTGCAGAAGGCCACTACTACTGAGTCAAATCCTCCGTCAGGGTTGAGGGCGAAGAAGCTTCTCTGCTGGTTTCCGGGCGAGGGCCGTTTACGGTTGCGGCTCAAGGAAAGTATCAAGGTGAGGTGGTCGCAGGAGTCTTTGCGACATAGTGAGGAAGCGAATGTTGCACCCTGTGAGCAAGATGGGTTTAAGCTTTGTCTGGGGCCCCAAATGATTGGATCTAGTTCTCACGTGGGCAACAAATCCCACCCCAACAGGCTGAACACTCTGAAAAAGTGACCATTCAAAAGCTTGGCATCGAAGGAGTTCGACGATCGAGGTGTCGAGGTGTTGGGCCTGTCCATCGACACGGAGCACGTGCACAAGGCTTGGTTGTTGCCGTGGAAGTGAGGCTTAGAGGCTGATTGGTTTTGGCTCGGAGCCCTCAGTGTAGGGTAAGTTTATGGTCTGTTAGGCAGCCGTGATGTTTCTTAGTCTAGACATCTCGGTGTCTAGACTGTCAGGTTAAACCCTCAAAGAGAAAGTGCGGGTCGAGAGCTATTGAGGGGGCACATTGTGGGTCAGGTGAATTCCGGGCATCATGGATCGTGATCTTATCGTTTATGCTAACTTCGGTGATGATTGGACCCAGCTATGAGTTCATGTCACCATAGCTCAAGCGGCTTTCTTGCAGCAAGCCCCTCCGGGTTATGTTCAGTTTTATCTTTTGAGGGTTTTTTTTATTGGTTTCAGGTCGCAGTTCGATAGTCTTGTTGGGAAGCTTTGGCTTTCATGATGGAGAACGCAGCAACTGTAAGGGCCCAACTTCGGCAACGATGCTTTGCTTGCGGCAGACCTGAACTCAGACATCAGCGCCTAATGCGCCAAACAGCATGCCTGGATCCAAACCCGCCGGTTTTTCAAACGAAGCTGCAGACACCTCCTACCGGACGGAAACGAGGTACCGAAATCGGAGACCCTGTACCCTGCATTAGAAAGGGCACGGGGACGTGGCACCTGGTCAAAGAAACTCGCGGGATCAGGTATCCAGAAACATGTGGCACCGGGGTGAGAGAGGGTGAACCTCCACGGCGGACCTGCGCACAGAGTTTCTCCTGTATGTATTGAGGTTAGCGGTTATCGAATACAGCCAGGTTGAACAGGGTGACTGGGTGCATGTTATAAGAAGTACCCTATCTAAACGTGGTCATCATCTTTATGAGCCACCCTGCTAGCACCAAAAATCTGCCACATAGCGAAGCATCAGAGTAGAATTTCCTCGGCGAGTCTCGTCCAGGCCCTCCATGCTTCTCAGCTCAACACGCCTTTAACGACCCACTGCCGGGACCGGGACCGAATGATACTCTGACAGGTCCACAAGCAGCACACAAGAAGAAGTTGGGATGTGGGGGTTTCCGAAAATAGGGGGACCCTAATCTAGCACCCCAAATAGTAGGATCCTTATTATAAGGACCCCAATATTGGGGTACCCCTTATTTTCGGAAACTCCCATGGAGGAGTCCTGGGCTCGCCACAAGTTTAGTCTTAGGAAAGGCCCTTCACTTGCTAGGGTTTAGGGTTTAGGGTTTAGGGTTTAGGGTTTAGGGTCTACGGCAGTAGCTAGACCAAGCCGACGGCACGGTTGCACACCCCTTCAGCAGAATTCCTTCCCCTGAACTTCGAGCGGCATCCCGGAGGCATGGAAAAACACGCCGCAAGACAAGGGTGGAATCGGGCCCATCTCGCACCCGCTGCTGGCAGATGTCAAGAAGGAGGCCGGCTTATTACCACGTGACGGTGCTAAGGAGATCTGCCACTGGCAAAAACCATAGTGAGTCTTTGTGCAAAAAGGAGCGCACCTCCCAGCAGCTGCTCCAAGACAGCATCCCCCATGGAAGGTCGCACTCACACACTCACTCAGGCACGTGCGCGCTATGTCAGGTCTCACACCTTCGCCGGGCATCGGATGGGTACTTGTAGAGCCCACACTACACGTACCATGTAGTCGAGGTGTGATGACGAGCATAGGAGCGGCTGATCTTCCGCAGTGCTTACTGCTCCTGACACAGTTCCAGTCTGAAAGCTCTCGCTGGCGCCCCGTTCGAGTTACCCAGCTGGAAGCCGTCGCCCTGCATGAAAACCTGAACCCTCCCACCCTAAACCCTAAACCCTAAACCCTAAACCCTAAACCCTAAACCCTAAACCCTAAACCCTAAACCCTAAACCCTAAACCCTAAACCTCATCCTTCAACCCTCCCCACCTCTGCTGTGCAATGGCTAATCGGCGGGGAGCCGAAGCCGGGCCTCCGACAGCCTTGCGCGGAATTTTTGGCCTTTCTGTGGATCGTTTCTAGAAAGGTATCAAAAGTGAGGATCCCGCCTTGCTGAGGTCTTGCATGATGATGATTATGATTTTATAATGTTCGTAATGTTATGATTAAACCATTCTGTCCTGTTTTTTAAGCACCGACCGGGCTCAACACGGAAGCAGGTCAGCGACGCATATGGATGTCTGTTGGACAACGGTCTGGCATTGAGGGCCGTGTACATCATCGATAAGGTACCTTGGCTTTGCTTCGGGCTGTCTCGCTTATCCCCCTTGAGGTTTGGGCTTGTGTGTACTTCAGCACTCAAGCATTAATCAGAAGTTTTTGCTTTGCGGTTGCTCGAAATATTATTGCTTCATTTGTGAGGATGGCGTCGTGCGATCCGAGATGAAGAACGACCTCCCGCTGGGACGGAACGTCGAGGACAAAAATCCGTGTGGTAGTATAGCCAGTGCGCAGTTTCAGGTTCAGTTTCACGCGTGTCCAGGCTTTACGAATCAGATTATGTGACCCGCAGCTTTGGGCATTGAGGATCTTTCGGAGAGGTGTCGGTTCCGTCTCCGCTTTCCATGGAGGAAGTGCTCCGCATCTTGGACGCGCTGCAGTTCCACGAGAAGAGCGTGAAGGATGGAAATCCCATGGTTTGCCCGGCGATGTGGAAGAAGGGTGCCAAGGCTATGAAGCCCACCACGGAGGGTGTGGCGGAGTACTTCAAGGGCAAGTGAGGCCTGATTAGCGTCGCAGGCGCCTGCGCATTTTGGAAGCAAATTCGGGGCGTCAATGACTGCCATGCTTCACAAAGTTTTGTAGGAGCTCACTCGTCTAGAGTGCAGGCTGGCATCCTGGCATTATGTGTTCCGCAGGCCCTAAACACATGTTTAGGCAGAAGACAGGACAGAAGCTCCAACGCGTCATGCGAAGTGAGAGTGAAGCTTTGTGGCTTGGACACAGAGAGGGGCTGCCGGCTTGAATGATTACACGCTAACCGAAACGGATGCGTCCAGCACAGGAAGATCAGCGATGCTGTCAAAACCATCGGTGCAAAGACTGCAGCAAAAGAAAAACACGCGTCCCTCAACCTTGCAGCCTTCGCCCAGAACATCTCGACCGATAAGCCTCTGATAGTGCCGCACGGGTGCTTCGTGCTCGTGATCCGGATGATAAAGGGAGCCTGCATTTTGCCACGCTGGCTCCAGAGGTCCTTGAACGGCTGCAGCCTCCGCGGCCTTGTACCATATATCCCCTCAGAGCTCGTTCTTTGTGATGGCGACGGCGGCAGCTGCCGACAGCCCTACCCAGACTGAGGCAGTGAAGACGGGATCTGGGCTTGAGTACTGTGTGATGCATGACTCTTACTATGAGCCTTAAATCTAAAGCCCTTAAGCCCCACATCCTACCATCACTACTGGAACCCCTCCAGCCCAAACCCATGCACGGGGTAAGAAGGGTCGCACAGTCGCACATGAAAGGAGCCTTTCGATGTATTTCAAAATCTCTCGTCTCCTGTGGTCTACTGATCTACTGTAGTGATCCCGTAACGTCGTAGTCATCTCAAGCGACTCCTTTCGCCTGGCCAGGTCCAGGTGCGACTCTGCAACTCTGCAACCAAGGTGGGTGTTATAGGGGTCCGAACAATCAGTAGGGTTTAGGGTTTAGGGTTTCAGCAACAATCAGTAATCGTAACAGTGCGCCCCCTCATCATCCCTTCTCGTCCCTGTTCCAAGAAATCGCAGTGTCTGATCATAAAGGTGAACCCTAAACCCTAAACCCTAAACCCTAAACCTAGAACCGGGGGTTTGGTCCCCTAAAGCCAACACTCCCAGCCTCACCCCCAAATGCCCCAGCAAACAGTCAAGCCAAGCCTATGCCCATACCGTTTCACGAGGGTCGGACAATTAGATATACTGTCGCCTTATGGTCCCTATGCTTTCCCAAAACCCTAAACCCTAAACCCCTAGACTATGCGGAGCCTTGCCGGCCTTGTGCGAGTGTGAGAGTCGAAATCCCTAGACTGTATCTATTCCCCAAAACCCTCTTCCTCTTATCAGGCCACCAAGCCCTAGAGCAGGTACCGTTCTTGCCGGACGATGGCCTGGACGCGCTGAAGTCGCGCGCCGCAGGGGCCTTTGGACTAAAGGCCGTTGGGGGGGTTTAGGTTAGGGCGGTGAGGGTTTTGGGTTTCGGTTCTAGGGCTCAGTGGGAGAGATCGATGAAATCATACTGTTAGAGGTACTTCAGAGAGACCTTGTTCAACCCAGATGTAAAAAAAAGGGTCTTGGTATAGATTGTGGGGTCTGACTTCAGCCCAGTATGAAAAGCAGCTGAGCGTTCCAGAGCTTGGGGCCTTGGGCTAAGATGGGGTTTGGGGTTCGGTCGGGGTGTCAAGTTGGATCAGGATTCAGGTTCTGGGTTGGGGGCTCAGGTTTCGGGGTTGTCGGGACCAGGATCCAGGGTTGAGGGTTTTGCTGTAGGAGTTGCTTGGTTCAGGATGTGGGGGGGCTTGACACCCACCAGCTCGCAGCTACCTTCACGAAGAGAGACGTGTTGCCATGAGGCCGCTGCGAGAACGAGGGTCGTAATGACTTGACCTGACATTGCCATAGCAGGGAAACGGCGAGAGGGTATCTGTCGTCAAAGCTTGGAGCTACACTCCTCATGGATTTCTCAATGCCCAATCCGGCACTACTGACCTTTCCAGCCCCAAACTCTCAAGTTGACCCCGGCCCTGGCAAGAGCGCTAAGCCCGCAACTGAACCTGTAAACTTTAATCCCAAAGCCCTTAAAACCCCAAACCCTGCCGGAGCAGGCGCCCTTTGACATCATCGGCCCCGAAGGCACGCGCCTGGCCAGCGACGCGGATGCGGCACGTGCACTCCTGAAACTAAGCTCGCCAGTAGTGCTCGTTTTCCCCATTTTCGAATTTGGGATTCCCTTACCAAAACCATAGTAAAACCAGCATAAGAACAAGGAAAACTTTAGTCAAACCATAGTAAGAACAAGGAAAACCATAGTACAACCATACTAAGAACAAAGACAACCATAGTAAAACCATAGTAAGAACAAGGGTAATGTTTACTGTGAGTGGAGTTTGGGCAACAAAGGAACGGCGCTGGTGAGCTGGCTATCAGCCGCTTGGCTCCGTCGGCTTCAAGGCTTCCAGGAAAGGGTTAAGCGTAAGCGAGTGTGGTGGCGGGAATGAGGCAGAGAGTATAGTAGCGACAGAAATTCACAACAAGTTTATGAATATTCCTAGCCTGGATTCATCCCGAATCCCAAGCTTTGGTCTCGAGCCAGAGCAAGATTGCAGGCTGCAGGTCCGATGTTGCTTCGTAGTGGCTGCGGACCCAAATTTTAAATGCTAGAAGCCTCAGCCCGCGGGAAACGCTCAGGTGTCAGACTCAGACGTAGCAGGTAGCAGAGTCTGCAGCCAAGTTCCTCAGACACTGAACCAGAGTCTTCGACATGCCAGACTTCCGAAGCACAGCAACAGGCACTGGTGAGGATGCACTGCTGGACCTCGAGCGAGCCCGAGAGGACAAGATTGCCAACTCAGCGATACTTGTAGCTTTCATAGTTGGGAAGTGCATGTGGGGATATCATAATGATGCTGTTAAGGTTGGCGAGGACATGCTGCTACTGCTTGCTGGCGCGACAGGTGTGTATGTATGACAGTAATGATGATGCTGATGCTATGGCGATGATGACGATGCTGATGTTGATGTCGATGACAGCGATGACGATGACAATGATGATGTGGATGATGATGACGACGGGGGCGAACATGATGACCTGGGCGAGTGTCGTCAAAGCAATGATGATTCATGGCCGCTGGCCAAATGATGTTGGCGAGGAACACGGACGAAGATTCAGATAGCATGATGATGATGATGATGACGATGATGATGGTCATGACGTTGGTGGCTGATGATGGCGCTCATGGCCATTATTGTCACGATGACCAATGCGACGGTGACAACAATGGCAACAAGTCCATGCCCAAATGAAGGGCAATGCGTAGAAGAAAGAGGCAAGAACTGCTTTGATTTTGGCGTCAAATGGAGGTCTGTTGAACTGCTTTGATTTTGGCGTCAAATGGAGGTCTGTTGGGAGTGGATACGGATAAGACTGCTGATGTAAACAGCTCGACCCACCAAACTAGTTCTTCTCTTCGGCCACCAAAAAGTCTCAAGATCTACATCGATTCCCTGAAGCCCAAGAAGTGAAAATCTTGGCAGGCTTCGGCCGGCTTGCTAGGTGAAGGGAAGCCATACAAACACAGAGACTAAGACCTCGAGCCATGTCGAAGGAGTCGGGGGTCTTGCGCTGGGCGTTGCTGAGGCCATCTTGGTGCACGGGAGTTCGGATTGCAGTGTTTTACGGGGTCTAAGACTAGCTTAGATAGCCAATGGGAGAACTTTAAACTTTTTGCCTTTATATATTAGGTCTATCCTAAAAAGTTTGAGGTTTTTTGGGCTTGGTTGTTGAAGAAGAGAGCTAGACTCCATAGCAGCTTTGGTCAGCGGTTTCGAAGCCGCAGGAATGAAGCGCCAGATCCTTAAACCTGAACAGGCTGGAGGTTATTCCAACTCTGAACCTTGATGCCTTACAGCGGGCTCTACCCCTGCCCGATGCAAGCACATGAGAATATAGAATGTAGGGACACGCGCACACACGCGCACACGGAGAGACAGTCAGCTGCAACCTTCCGATAGATAGACCTCTCAATCTCAGAAGCTGGTTTTTGGCAGGCTCATGCTGGTGTACATCTGACCTGATCCCTGTGCAGTGTCTTCAGGCTTCATGCCAGATTCTGCCGCCGGAAAACCCACACCTAATCCCTGCACTCTCGACGCTGAACCCTGGAACCCAAACGCTCGTTCGACCCAGGCAGATCCTGGCAGATATGCGAACCCAAATCGCAGAACTCTCTGTCTCTCTCAGCGAGGGCAAGCACGCGGCAACAGCACTTCGGATTTATTTGGAGGTCCCACCCCCTCCTTTCCCGGGAAGCTTCAACAAATTATGACTATGACTGGGCCCAATACCTAGGGCTAAGTCGTTCAGGACTTGAGGCTGTAGGAATTCAGAATTGGCTTCTGCGGGTTTCGGCTTTCGCATGTGCTGCCTATCCTTTTTTTTTAAGGTGCTGCAGCAGCAGCTCATGCGGGAGCGCGGCGCTCGCGAGGCAAGTTTCAGGTTTCAGATTTGTGGAATGTGGGAAACAAGATACTTTGAGCAAGCATTAACCAGGATGCCTTCATGTAGGAGCAACCTCTCAAAACCCAGTCAGGATCCTTTTTCCGCAGGGTCCTTGTAAAGCCGTCGCACTTGTTGGAGTGAGGTTGACGTTTGGCTGCTCCTAGTATTATTTTTGCGATTTCAGCGTTGTTGTTCTCATGATTACGACTGCTACTACGACGACGACGACGAGCTCCTCTTCTTCCTCCTGCTATGGGTCTTTGTAGGACTATGACTACTACTATCACTATTGCTATACTAACATTTATGCTCTTACTCTTATTACGACGACTACGACCGCGACGAGGAGGACGACGACGACTACTGCTGCTACTGCTATTCCTGCTGCTGCAACTAGTGCTGGTGCTACCACAGCAACAATTTTAACGTTGCGCCGCAGGTTTTTCAGAGATTGTTGTTTTCGCTGATTTTTGTTGACCCGCTGATCTCAGAAGAGGTTACAAGTAGTGTTTGACCTTATGCGACTGCTTTTGTGAAATGGGGCCCGTCTCAGCTACCAAAGAAGCGGTGAGATTGAAAAGGATCCTGAACTAAGGTGCGAGCCGAGGGTGTAAGTCAGGCCATCAAAAAGGCAATCTACTTCCGACCATCCCCCGCGCAGCTCAAGCCTGGCGATGTCACCAGCGAAGAATCACAGATCAACCTGCCCATGAAGCCCGCATACCCTTACGATGTTATGCCATGTCATGCCGGGATGCTTGTAAAGAGCCCCAGGTACTAAACGTAGAAAGGGAGCAGTGTTCATGTGCAGTTCTTACAGTCCCGGTGGAGGTATTTTCCAGCCTCTTCCTTCTGGCATTGGGCTTCAGTTTTGGGGATCAGGAGCTCAGGACCTGACTCACGACTGAGGAATCATTGTGGAAGTCAGTGTTCAGGCGATTGCACAAGTCCTGATGCAACAAAGGAGGTCGTAATTCTGGATGGGACATTTCAGACACCTCTTTTTGCTCACGAAGTTCAATAAATCGCCAAAGCTGGCGTTTGGTTAGACGAACCAATTACAGACGCTCCGGCCAGAGAGTCATCTTTCCTGTTTCAGAGGCCATGTCTGAAACCATTTTCCCATGGAGCAAGAGTTTGAATATGTAGCCCTTGGGCTGAGGGCCCAGGGTTTAGGGTTTAAGGCTTTGGGTTTAGGGTTTAGGGTTTGGAAACTTCGATCCTTAGTGTTCAAATCCATAGAGCGCACAGCCAGGTCACAGCCGACCTCATGGAAAGAACTGCTAGAGCAGAAGGCATTTGACCCCAAGTTTGAAATCACAAAGCCCCAAACCCCAAACCCCGTAGGCAAAAATTTACAACTCTAAACCCTAAACCCTAAATCCTAACCATTGTTCTCTGCCATGCGAGAGGGGAAAAACCCAAAACCCTAAACCTTAAACCTTAAACCCTAAACCCTAAACCCTAAACCCCTAACCCTAAACCCTAAGCCCTAAACCCTAACCCTAAATCTTAAACTCAACCGGTAGCCTTGACAAAGAGGCGGCAGAGGGGGGCCTGAAGGGGGAGATCGATGAGCTCAAGGAGCGACTGGCCCTGGAGGTCTGAACCCGACGGGATAAGAGATTTTTAGGGGTTTAGGGTTTAGGGTTTAGGTTTTTGGGTTTAGGGTTTAAGGGGTAGTTGAGATTTTTAGGGGTTTTTGGGTTTAGGGTTTAAGGGGTAGTTGAGATTTTTAGGGGTTTTTGGGTTTAAGGGTAGACGGGCTAAGAGATTTTTTCAGGGGTTTTTGGGTTTAGGGTTTAAGGGTAGTTTAGGGGTTTAGGGGATTAGGGGCTTAGGGTTAAGGGGTTTAAGGGTATAGGGGTTTAGGGGTTTAAGGGTTTAGGGGTTTAGGGTGGAAAAGGGTTTAGGCAGGCGATTGCACAAGTCCTGATGCAAAAAAGGGTGGAAAAGGGTTTAGGGGTTTAGGGTTTAGGGAGGCACTTCAGAGAGGCCTCGAAGGGGTTTAGGGTTTAGGGCTAAGAAGGGCTCTTAGTCCTTGGTCCTGTGCTCAGTGGGGTGCTGGCATTCATCAAGTCCAGATGGGCTCTTATATGGAGGGTCGCACAGGTTTCGGGTGTAGAGTTACCGAGACGCCCAGACTCACACCCCGCCCCCCCAACCCCATCCTCAAAGCAACGCTCACTAAGACAGGATGTCCAATATGAGATAGTATACGGCATGGTTGTTCGTGGTGCTAAGCAATAGTCTCAGTTTGCATATACCAAACTCAAGAGCGTCAATCATCTCAGGAATATTTCTTCATATCACGCTTAAGTGTCTAGCCCCAAACGCTCTAAAGCTCCAGGCCCTCAGCCCTTCAATGCGCATTGTCTTACTTCAATGATCTTTTGGCGTCCCTAAACCCTAAGCCCGATCTACAAGCCTTTCGGGACCTCTGGGCTTCGGAAAATGGAGTTAAAAAAAACAGACCCGATCCGCGAAGGTCCACCGTCTTCGACAAGATTTGGGCCGGAGCACTGGGGAGGTGGCAGCCAGCCTCCAGTCTCAGGTGCTGGGGGGGGGGGGCGACTTCCATTTCGGTACTCTAGTATAGTTATAGTTATAGTTATAGTT